ATCATGTGAGAACATTGTTACAAGGCAAAAAAATCCATGAAAACAATGCGGTCTTCTTTAATTTTATTGAATATTTTCCTGCTTATATTATCTTGTTTAAAATATCTTGTGCTGTATACCCATAGAAGAGGAAATCCTGAACTGGTATCTCGTTCTGCAATAACTCATTCTTCCACATGCTGGTTTCACTAAGCACTATCGTTCAGCAAATGGTCATCAACTAGGCACCCTCGAAATTCAACTATTTTTGCCTCGGCAAATAATTGCCGAAGCCTTTCGATAATTTTCGAGTTTGCCTCGGCAGTGCCTCGGCAATTTTTTTTGCCGAGGCACGCAATGAAATCACCTTAAATTCCTTCGGCAATTACTTCGGCACCCTTCGGCATTCACGTCGGCAGTTAAAGTAAAGTACATACAGAAATTATTGTAAACAAATATTATAACGAGCGTAGGTTCTGAGACTTCTGACGTTCGACAATTTGTTGTTATTTTACAAATTCCTGATTCAAAATTTAAAAAGTTAGTGGTAATTTACAACCAATTGTAAGAAAGAATAAACTTGACGGTAAAATCACACGACAGTCTAAAAGATAAAACAAAGTTTCTCGACGTACCGTCTTTAAACCATCAAGATTGTTCTTTATTTCAACCGAAGACGACGCTGCATGAAAAGCTCAAATTTAAATATTTTGTAAAGTAGCTATGAATGAAATCTTCTGTTGTTCACCCAACGTCGATGACAACAATTCGAACAAAGAAGTGATACAAAAAACGAACACTGTAGTTTGTATATTTAAGAAGAAAAAAAACGAACAGAAACTGTAGTTTGTAAGTTAAGGAACAGCGGGTGGAATTGCCTCGGCATTTTTTTGCCGAGGCAAACTATGAAAAATCGTAACTTGCCTCGGCATTTGCGTCGGCAATTGCCGAGTGCCGAGGCGAATTTCGAGGGTTGCTAGCAGTTATCGGAGTGAGAAAATAATCTTCATTCTTTCATTATATGTACTGTATATATACCTTTGTGTTTGGTGCCAAATAAATAAAACAGAGACACTTAGTTTAATTCGGTTGTTCCTGATACTTGACCACCCTGTGTTGCTCTCTTGAGGCTGGTTTACACTATCAAAGGTTCTGTGATCACAGTAGGAATTTTGCATATAAGTAAATTCTAAGTTTTGAAGGATTTGTAAGAAATGTTTGAGGGAACTGATTGAGTGTTTAACACCGAGTCAGTTCCCTCAAACATTTCTTACAAATCCTCCAAAACGTAGAATTTACCTCTGCAAAATTCCTACAGTGATCACAGAAACTTTGATAGTGTAAACCAGGCTTTACTTTCATACCCACCAACATCCGTCGAATGCAATTCTACATTACAAAAAAATATTCCTATATAATATAATAATTACCTACAGTTCGTTTTTGAAGCACAGATCAATGAGCAACTTTCAAAGGAGAAATATGTCTTGCAAGTGGTGGTGCTACATCCACTGTTTGATTACTGCTTTGGCTGCTTTCCAAATCATATAAAGTACGTTGGAAACGGCTCCACTCGTCTGAACGAGGTGTGGCTAGTTGCTGGAACAAAATTAATGAATTATAGAACAGAAAACTTTAATTCGTCCCTAAACAACTACAGTTGAGTAAACTCTTATTCAACATGTGCATGTACTGATAAAAAAATACAAAGATGACGACAAATAAGTGAATATCCAATACTACGTCAACTATATTTTAAATCAGAGGAGGTACGACAAGCAATTAGCGAGTTGTCACGTGAGCTCTCGACCAATGAGATCGCTCTATTTTCCATCGTGCTATCTGCATAATTTGGACAGAAAAATTTGCATTCGACGGAAAATAAATCGAAAAAAAATATTAATATTAAAATTTTCTTGCAAAATTTCAAGTTTAGTAGTACTATTGCTAAAGATTTGGTGATATCTGCAAAAATCTCTGAGGTAAACGTTATTTTCAATGTTATTTTGATGTTTGAAGTTAGTCGACTCCCCGCGACGTGTTGACTCGAGTCTAAATATGTTTACAATGTTTAAAATGAAATATCTAGAATTCCCGTGGTTCGATTTTTTTCATTTTTGGTAGTCGTCAAGACAAACGTATAATCTTTAAATCTGCTGGAATGATCCCGGTGATCCCCCGGCAGTTTTCGAGATATTGACCATTG